CTGTAGTTCTGGCCCTCATCATCTCTCTGCAAATCACTGTAACAATTTCCTAATTCATCTCTCACCTTGAATTTAGTTTTGTTGCCCTCCAATCCGTCCTTAACCTGGCCTCCAGAGAGGTCTCTCTAAAACACAAATCTATTTATGTTACTCACTTACTTGAAACTCTCTAATTGTTCTTACCATAACACTTAAAACATTTGGCATGCCCTACAAACTTGGGAAGGTCTGGCCTTTGCTTATCCTACTGAAGTAGATGCTACAGTGTGTTGCCCAAGTATACCCTTTGGGACAATGACACTCGTTCTCCAAGTTGTGTGAATGTTACCATTAACAGCTCACAGCTGAGTCCCTCTCCAGGAATTGTCCTCAGCCAAAGGAAGCTGCCTTACCCAAGATTATTTACCCTCCCTCTTCAGGAACAGCCCTCATCCAATGACTGCGTGACGCAGGGGTGCCAAGGCATGGTCCCCTTGCCTCAATTCCAGACATACCTGAAGGGCCCTCCTAATTCCAGAGCTGTTTGTGGGATTGGTTGAGGCCTGTGTTACAACTACATTGCAATTTAACCTCTCTCTTTGCCCAATCATGCTTTATTCACTTCCCCCAATGGTATTGTGGCAGCAAGCACACCCCAAGAAATGTCTTGCAGGCAAGTTGGTCTCAGAGTCTGTTTCCCAGGGACCCTGACCTGCAATACTCTTCCAGCCCCATCACTCAGTCATTGGAAGTTCATACAGAACTATTATCTATTCCTCAAGTCCACTAAACTCTCATTTATGTGTCTTTGCACATTCTATTGCTTCTGCCTAGAGCCTTTCCCACCTTTCGCTCCTGCTATCCCATTTATGGGGCTAATTCCTACTCATCCTTCAAGTCTCAGCTAAGATGTCACCTCCTTTGGGAAGTCTTCCCTGATTCACAGAGCTCAAGTGCTCCACCTCCATGCTGTCATGGCATGCAGTACTACCTCTATCACTGCATAATTGAAATAATTACAACTGTGCATCTTTGTGATTGTCTCCCCTACATCCTCTGTGAGGGCAAGGAATGTGTCTGTCGTGTCTGTCATTGTATCCCTAGTGCATAGTCCAACACTTGGAACACAGTAGGTACCCCAAATATTTGTTGAATAAATAAATAAAGAGTAGGAAATAAAGAAGCCCTAAGTAAGGAAGTAGAAGTAGGATAAAAGGATAAAAGAGAAGGGAACATATTTGATATATATTTAGGTGGTAAAATTAATAGGTCTTGGTGACTGATTAATTGATTAAACATAAGATTAAGAATGAGAAAGAGTCTAGAATAATTTCTATGTTTCTGCATTTGTAAGTAGGTAGATGATAGTGCTATTTGCTGAAAGAGAGACTACAAAAGGAAGTTTGAGTAGAAAGATATATAGAAGCAGCCTAAGTTTGAGATATCTATTCTATATCCAAGCACAAATGTCCAGTGGGCAGGTGGAAATAGGGTTTGGAGCTCAAAGGCCTGGACTTGGAAATCATTAGTGTATCACCCAAGAAATTCTCTTATCAATTTACTTCTTGCCAAGAACATCGGCAGACCCCCATTGGAATCTCTCCTCATTTTGTCCCCATGTTGCCTCCTTCTTCAACTCAGTGGGTACTCATGTGTTTGCCGGGGCAGCCATAACAAAGACCACAGACTGGGTGGCCTAAACAACGGAAATTTATTTCTCATAGTTTTGGAGGCCAGAGAACCGAGATCAAAGCATCAACAGGTTTGATTTCTTCTGAGGATTCTCTCCTTGCCTTCTCGCTGTGTCCTCACATGGTCTTTTTTCTGTACATGCACATTGCTGGGATCTCTCTGCACGTCCAAATTTCCTTTTTTTATAAGGACACCAGTCAGATTAGATTAGGGCCCACTCTCTCGGGCTTATTCTAACTTAACCTTTTTAAAGGCCCTTTCTCCATATACAGTCACATTCTGAGGCACTGGAGGTTAGGACTTCAACATATGAATTCAATACAGGGGACACAATTCAGCCTATAACAAGGCTACATTTCTTCTCATCCTCCTTGCACACAGCTGCCCCAGAGGCAGCCAGCCCACCTCTCCACCATAGCACCAATTTCCAGATGAGCCGTCCCCTCAAATTTCCAAGATTCAGACTTCAACATGTTATGAAAACCGATGAAAGAGAGGGTTATTCTACCTGGGAAGAGGGTGAGGAGGTCGTAGGTGAGGGTGGGGGTGAGGAGGTAGACTTGAATGATGAGTAAGAGTTCACTAGTTATGAAAGGGAGAGACATCTAGGCTAAGGGACCTGTATAAGCAAAGATACTGTGATAAATTTCATAGGGAGTTTGGGGACAATTAGATCTGGGTCTTGTGGAGGTTGAATGTGGGGGATGGTAAGAGCTGAAGCAAGCGGGGTTGGCTGAGGTCACATTGTAAAGAGCTTTTCTTTTGGCATAAAATCAGCCAATGTTTTATCTAAAGAGACATAGGGAATTAGAGGCTGCTCCAATCACTCAGGCGGTAAACAATGCAATTGCATGTAAAAGGTTGGAAGACTGGAGGATGATGTTAAGGCAAAGAGCTATTGGGGCTGGGGGTAGGGGACAGGAGTGGTGAATAAAAGATAAAGTGAAAAAGAGTGGAGAAGAGAAAAGAGGAGACATCATGTTCAGATCTAAATGATGACTTCTAGTGTCCCAGATGGGACTATGTTGAGTTGGGCTCTGCCTCCTCAAGAAGGTAGAGTCTCCTCCTCACAGACTTTTCAGAGTTGGCCAACACATCTCAGTAAAGTGGAGGCTACTGGGAGCAGAGAAGGCTCTAGAAGTCAGGGGGTCAGTTAATGTGGAGGCTCAGCAGCAAAAGGAGCCACCAGTGATTAAGGCGGGAAAGAATTCCAAGAGGACCTGGAAAGCTGAATGAGATCAGCCTCGATGGTCTGGCTGGGCTGGGCATTGATATGTCCAGTTCTGACTGGTCATTTAGGGAAAATACTCAATTCAGGGCTGGGCTTGCAGATCAAAGACTAGTGACCTAGATCCAACCACTTTGAGGAAGTAGTGGTGGCTGTCAAAGGGCTTAAGTTTCCTCTCTGAGGACACTAGGGCAGGAAAGCAGAAGGGTCAGGCAGTTGCAAAGGGGAAAAGGGGGGTCACTGTACTTGGCGACTGTCCTCACTAGTGAGCTTACAGCAGTGGTCAAGGCCAGAGGTTAAATGTGAGGAAGGCAAAGAGCCAAGAGAACGATTTTATCCCAACTGCAGGCTAAGGTGCAACGAGCCATCTTTTTCATCCTCATAACACAGCACTCGTTGAGGAAGGCCTGCCCTGAAGAAGATGGCCACAGTTGGCCACTGTATGTGGTTCAAAGCTGCGACTATCTCCAAAGTGGTTTAATTTCTCTTTATGAAACCTCTGGTCCTAAGAATGTGAGGGTTTCCACTTGGGGCCTGCCCCATGGCTCATCAATCCTACTGGGTTAGGGGAGCCAGCTGTGGGCTTTGCTGCCTCTGGGATCATAAGAGTAAAGCTAGCTAACTATGAACATGAGTGGGCGGTTAGAGTCGAGAGGCCAGGCTTGTCCCTATGAAGCTGGTGACTAAAGAGAGAGTGGTATGCTGCCTGAATCACTGGCAGGCAGAGAGGGGGGACCTCCTATGACTGGACTGAAGGGCTTTGGGCCAAGATCTTTGGGCCCAGTCCAGAGACATCGGTGCAACAGCAGCCCTGGAAGCACCCCAAGGACTTGTGCTGCCACAGAGATCTTCCACTGCATTCTCACTGACTCTCCAATAATTTTTTAGACTTCATTAGTATTGAATGTGTATTTCATTGTAAAAATAATGTGAACGTGCTATAGAAAACCAAGAAAAAGTTTACCCGCAATGGCACCTCCCAAAAGTTAATTGTGATACATCAGAGTTGTCTTCCACTGGACCTTATGCATTTTAATTCATAGTCTCAAACTCAGGACTTGAGGCACATGTGGAAGAAAATCAGGCAGAGCACCTTTAGCATAAGACTTTGCTCTAAATTGCCAATGAGAAGTTTCCAAAAGAGCATTCTCACTTAAGGAAGGAGGCTGGGTCGGGCAGTACGTTTTATGAGAATTTAAGAGGAGGGATCAGCCAAAGTTCAGCTAGTTTGGGGAATAGTTCAAAGATGGTTCTTGGAAACAGGAGGAATTATTCTTAAGGATGAGGAGCCATTGTTTGTGATTTTACCAAGGAGGTGGGGAGGAACCGTTAGGGGCTAAGGTCACGTGAAAGACAGTTAAAGAGGAACATCTAATGGGGACAAGGATGTGCAAGGGCCACATTGGAAATTTCTCCGTCTTCTAGTGTCTCTTGCAGGGACCAAATGCAAGCCCAGATCTTCTGACTCCTGGCCTGAGTTCTTCCAATGTCCCATAGATGCCCCAACCTTCCCCACTTCAGTAGGTGATTGGGAAAGAACTCTGGGTGTCCTGTGCCCACCCATGGAAGGAGAGGTTGGGTAAAGGCCTGGGCAGCAAAGGCAAAAAATGGAAAGATTTAACCACGTGGCCCTAGGGATGTGATTTACCTTCAACTGGACCAGGCCTGCGGGAGTTGAGTCCTGTGTATTGCTGACCTACAGCTAGAGGTAAAGGGAATTCTGCCACTGGTGACTGAGAACCTCAAGGACTTCTTACACAGGAGTTCCATTTCCTGGTGGCTTGGCTCTGGAAGCATCCCTGCATCCATAGCTGTTGTGCCTCTTAATAAAACTCTTCTGAGCTCCATCCTCGGATTTTTCAGCTATCAGCCTGGGTAGCCGGGCCTATGGCCCATTGTACTTCCTTTCCCAAGGGGTAATCAGCCCTGGGCACTGGTCTTTCAGAGGCAGGGATGTATCAGAAATGCACAGCTTTCATTTTTCCTTGCTGTGCCTTTAAGAGCTCCAGGAATGCAAAGAGAGCCTGGAGAAGGGGTGGGGTCTCCTCCCAAAAGGACTTCTGGGAAAAAGATCCTGGGAATTTTTGCCAGAAATGAAACTGAGATTCCAACTCTGAGAAGTTGGGGGTGGTGTGTGGTGTGTGTTGGATCAGGCCTGTGATTGGACTGCAGAGTCTGCTAGAGAGGAAGAAAGCAAAAGGAAAAAGGAAAAAGCTGGGGAGAGGGGAAAAGCCCTCCCTACCCCGAAACCAGTGCACACTCCCCCAGGCCTGGAATAGGGTGCAGCCACTAGTCTCCGGGAGGCCAGTGTGTGTCAATGGTGATGCCCACAGATGGACCCAGGGAGCTCTCTACCCCAAGTTGGCCTGCAAGCCCTCCAGGGACCGGCTTGCCAACAGCTGGACTTGATCACCAGCTTGCAAAGTGAGATCACGCCTCTGGTAGAATAACAAGCGAACTCCGCTCTCAGGCTCTTTTTGGAGGATTTGTCACAGCAGTGGCTAGAAAGCAGGAGACCACCACCTGGACCCTTGAGTCTTCTTCAAGAAGCACAGCCTAGGAGATTCCACCCTGAGTGGTTTGCAAGATGATGCTGGCCCTTCAGCGAGCTTCTGCTTTCCTGGTTCTGTTCCTTGCGGCTTTTCTGCCCCCGCCACAGTGTGCCCAGGACCCAGGCATGGTGCACTACATCTACCAGCGCTTTCGAGTCTTGGAGGTAGGTGGCATCTGTGCACCTGATCCAGGGGACATGCCTCCTGGAAGTCACTTTACCTTACCCATGCTTCCCTATCTACTGGGATGCACTTTTCCCAGATAATAAATGCTAATTACACTGCTAAAGTGCGAAATTTTTCGTAGTTTAGTGGTTTAGAGCACCAGCTCGAGTCCAGACTGCCCCACTCCCAGGCCCTGAGCGGAGCTTCCCTCTGTGCTCTGATCTGGCAGTTTTTCTCATCTGTAAAATGAGATGATAATAAAATTTACTTCCTATGGCTATTCTGAAGATTTAATAAATTAATCCAGATTTGGAACATTGCCTGGCATGGTGGTAAATGTCCAAAATGTTATTATTTGATAGTTTAATTTTCAAAAGACGCAATTTAAAAATTTCGGTCACTTTTTTTTTATGTTTTACTGTATCAGGATGATAGAGGATGTTAGCTTTTCTTTTCGCCTTTTTATGAGAAACCATTAAGTCACTGTGAAAAGTCATGATATTGCCATACCCAGAAGCTGTCTCAGCTTCTTTTCCTGGACTGAACTTGGATGTAGAAATGAGCAGATTTCAACAATATTAAACAGAGAGAAAGCGTTGGGGCCCTCTTCTCCAGATGTTGAAGCTACTACTTCATTAAAATTTGCAAACCCAACATTTTTGCAGCACGGACCGGCTGTCAGGGACAAATGTAACCCTCCGCGCTAGCCTTTGACATACCCCTGGTGTCGACATTGCCTATTTCATACTTAATGCCTTTCTTTTGTACAAGTTATATTTTGATAAATTACCTTCTTTCAAAGACATTCTTATCTTCAATATTTATTTTCAACATTTTCCTGAAAAATCTTTAAGTCCAAATTATTTAGTCATCTAGTTACAGTCAGGGTAAAATAATTCCACAGGGCAGGGTGAACACATTTCCTAACGTTGCCTGGCCAACAGACTGAGGCCTGGAGGCGAGGGATGAGATGTTCCCAGGCTGGTGGCCTCTTGCCTCTGCTTCACATGTTCTCTCCTCAGACACCTCCTCTCTAGTCTCACCTCCTTAAAAGTGCCAGCATTATGCTCAGCCATGGTCCCTCTGCATTTAGCACTGACATGCCCTGGGATTAGTGCCCGCAAGTTTCCTCACTGTCTGAAGAGTTTGTCTGCAGACAAGAGTGTAAAGTACAGACTGATACTTTCATAGCTATGAATGTTGATTTGAAAAAGAGAGATATGATTTGTACAGATCTTCCCACGTTGGTCGTGGTGACCTGGAGGGGAAGCCAAGTCCTAGATGGCACTCGCTGTTGGCCAATGTGGACACTTAACAAGAAGTGATACCGTCTCCACCCTGAGGGCTTTGTGTCAGAGGGGTAAGAAAAAAGAGGATAATTTAGGGAATTACTTTCTCTCTCTCTAATTCCCTGTCTCTAACTCTCTCTCTTTCTCCTCCTCTCTCTCCCTCCTTTCCTTCCTCCCTCTCACACACACACTGTCTCTCTCCCCACCTCTCTCTCCCTCTCTTTTTTCTTTCAAAATGAACAGTCTTACATACTGCCGTTTGGAGTATAAATTTTTACCACTTTTATGGAGAGCATTTTGGTAAACTGCCAAATGAGCTTTACGTATACATACTCTTTTACTCTGCAATCCCATTTCCATCCTTCATGCATTTATCCTTTCATTCAGTAAGTATTTATTGAGTGCTGCTATGTGGTAGGCCCTGTGACAGGTGCTGGGGATGGAGTTTACTTCTGGAAACCTATCCTAAGAAAATAACCAGATAAATACACAAAGATGTAAATACAAAGTTTTTTTAGCATTGTTTAATTGCCAAAAAATTGAAAACTACATAAACGTCCATCAAAAAGAGTCTAATGGGATTCTAGATCATTAAAATTATGGTATAAATATATATTAATTGGTATTGAAATATGTTCACAATATATCAGCAAGTTAAAAATATGTTACAAAACATACATATAGTGAAATCATATTTTAAAAAATATATTTATATATGTATGACTAAATGCATGGGAAAACTAAAAAATTGATAAAGTATTAATAGTACTTTGAATTAAGGAATTATGGGTGATTTTTATTTTCTCCCTTTTTGATTATTTGTATTTATAAAATCTTTTCTATGAATGATAGCTATTTATGTTACTTGGGCAATTTAAATAACTAGCAATAATTTGGGAATTTATTTTGTGACTGAAGGAAGGACTGGAAAAATGTACCCAAGCAACGAGGGCATACATTCAAGACTTCCAAGAGTTCTCCAAGAATGTATCTGCTCTGCTGGGAAAGTGTCAGACCTACAGAAGTGAGTGTAAGAGTGCAGTGCATAACCTGGGACTGAGAGTCGAGCGTGCCCAGCGGGAGATTGACTACCTAGAGTACCTGCGGGAAACTGATGTGTGCCCGGAGTCAGAGGACAAGACGCTGGCAGAAGAGCTAGTCCAAGAAGCTGAAGACGAGAAAACAATCCGGACTCTCCTGAATGCAAGTAAGACAACTGCCTCTTTTACTACCCCTTCTAGGGACTTGCACACTCAGAGACACAGACTCTGCGCAGGTAGGAGTCTGACCAAGTATGAGAGTGAGACCCGGCTGTGTGCTCTTGTGTGCATGAGCTGGGAAAGAAACCTTAGCAGGACAGGTGTCCAAAGGAAAATCCATTCTCAGAAAGTAGCTTTTCCTTTCACAGGGTGTTCCTACAGGATCCGTAGAAGTTCCGGGCTATGGTGACAGAGGTCAGCCCAGGAAAGGCATCTCCTGATAGACCTTGGTTTGGTGGAGCTGTGTGGTCCCAGATCCTCCCAGAGAGAATGGCAGGTTGGATTCTCCCAGGGCCCTGTGAGTAGGGAGCATCTGCAAATGTGCCAAGCAACAGTTTGCAAGTGGAAATGGCAACAGCCAACTCTCAGGGCCTGGGACTGCAGTGAATTATTGTATGTGCTGTCAGCATGGTGATATCCAGGGGATTTGTCTTCTATATTGTGATCGGTCAGAATCACTTCCAGGCTATTAAGAATAATGGTTAGGAGATCAAGTTATAATAAAAGTATCAAGCAACAGAAACATAAATGAGAAGGAAAATTTCCTCTGCATGAATCCATTTTATTAAAACAATGAGGGAGACAAGTCCTCCACCTCAGAGTCTATATTCTGAGAGGGTTTCATTGCAAATAGGAAAACTTTATTTATGCGCTAATTATGTCTGCCTCAAATGTGAGAAACTCCATCAGGGAAACAAGACATAACTGAGTGCCATCATTGTGCTAAGAGTTTCACATCTCTTCTCAATGTAATCTTGGTAAGAACACAAAGGGTCATTATAAGAAGAAAGGTCTTCCTATATGAGCTGACACTTGATCTGAGTTTTGAAGAAGAATGTTAGAGAAGGACGAACCAAGGACACAGCCAGTGAAGGCATAATGTATCACAGGCATGAGGGCATGTAAGACTTGAACATGTAGCTCTGCAGATACGGTTGAGTGAAAGCTGTTTGGGGCAGGTGAGTGTAGGGAAACAAGATTGAAGAGTTCAGGAGGACCCAGATAATGAAAGACCTTGCATGTTAAACTAAGGGGGTTGAATTTGACTGGAGAAACTATAGAGAACCATTGAACAATTTTAAGCAGGGGCATGACATGAAGGTAGAGGGCAAGACTAGAGAGGAGACAAGTCATGGAAATACTGCAGTAAACTGGGCAACAAGCGACGGTGTCTACATTATGTGTCAGTGAGATGGAGAAGAGCAGATGGATTTGAGAGCCATTGAAGAGCTGGAGTCCGCATGGTTTGGTTTAAGAGTGAAAAATGAGTGAGAAAGATGAGTCCAGGGTGCTTCCTGGCTTTTTGGCTTAGGTCATTGGGTGGTTGGTCTGAAATATGTTGAGATAAGAAACCTAAGAGGAGTTTGGGGGCACTTATTACTCAGCTATTTTTGGGGGGAGAGGAGCACTTATTACTCTGAAATCTTCTAGTTCAATTATTTGTTCACTGCTTATTTTCTGCCTCGCCATCTAGAAAGTCTGCTCTCTGAGAGCCTGGATCCTGCATTTCATGTTCAATGCCATGTCCCAGCACCTAGAACAGTGTCTATGTTCAACAAATATTTGTCAGTGGATAACTAAGTGAATAAATGAATGAATGGAGGGATGTCAGCACAGACAGAGGGATTATTAGGCTTTGATAGAAAAGAGAACATCTTATCTCTGAGTCAGAAGACAGACAGGACAGTGCCGTATTTACAATACTAATCAGTTGATCAAGTTGGTCAAGTGAGTGATCCTTTTTGCCCTGACATTATCTTGAGATGAACCATCGTCTGAAAAGGAGCAACTGGGGGTAAGCATGAGGTGAGGGAAGGGGGAAAAGGGCAACGATGAACCAGCAGATTAATACAGACTGCTTAAAACACTGATGGGAAGGTTTGGGTGCTAATGTAGCCTGAACCAGAATGTGCCTGAACTTTCTTGCCAGGGGTCAGGCAGGACCCCAAGCCTGAACAGTGGTGCTGGATTGGATCCCTGAGCTGCTTCTGGTCGCTGGACTCTTTAAGCCCCTCAGGCCTTGAGGTTGCCCCTTTTTACTCCAGCTAGAGCTCAGCAGAGGTCCTGAGTCTGGAATTGCTGCTTTTTCAACCCTCATCCTCTGCCTCATTCCTCAGATCCTGGAGGCCTGAAATATTTCCTTTCCCAGCTCCATGGTGAGTGAAAACTTCTCTTTCAACTTTTCAGAGATTGCTGCATCTATGCCTATTGCCTCTGGAGCCCTCATTTGATTATTTGTCAGTTTGTGATTCAACAAACACTTTTGCCCCCTTCTATTGGATGGGCCATGTGTTACACAGTAGGGATGGAGGAGTGAGGAGAACATGTCTGCATCCTGCATTGGCTTTCTTACTGCTTCTCTCGCCTCTGGTCTTGCCTCCTACAATCCATCTGCTGTCACATAGACATTACCACAACATAAAATGGATCATATTAGTACTCTGTGTAGAATTTTTTTGTCATTCACCATCAATCATCAACAACAACAAAATCCATTCAACTCTCTTAACCTTTTATAGGGAGAAGAGCCTTCACAAAGTGGCCCAAGCTGACCTTCAGCTTCTTCTTCTCCATAACTTACCTACATGCTGTTGTAATTAAAAAGTATACACAGTTTTTTTCTACTTACCCTTTATGACTCAAAAATGCTGCCGATTCTCTGTGAACCGCCCCCACCAGGCAGAGTGCTCCTGGAGCACCTCATTAAACCCTCCAAGGGAGCACTAACACTCTCAATCACACATATTTGCGTGTATTTGACTCCTCAACCAGACCACGAACATGTTAACGTTTCGTTTTTGTATTCACAGAGCCGGGGTCAGGGACCCCCATGGAGGAGGCTGTAAAAATTGTTTATAGAAGAGATACCGATGGTAGAGGCCCCTGAGATCCTAGTTTAGGGAAAGACAAACTTGCAAACAATCACACTGTGTGATTAGTGCTCCCCTGACCTACTATTTTCAGAGATTCTCTGCCCCAGGATAGACTTTGGAATGCCAATTTATTCCCCGGCCATGGACGGATTTGTATTTTACATACTGTGCCCCTCCCCCAATTTGGAGCCATTTCCGTTAGTAACTAGGCCTATCTTAGTTTTCTAATGCTGTGTAACAAATCATCACAGATTTAGCAGCTTAAATCAATACACATTTATTGTCTCAGAGTCTCTGTGGGTCAAGAGTCCAGACACAGCTTAGCTGAATCCTTTGTTTAGGGTCTCAGGAGGATATAGTCAAGGTGTTGACTGGGCTACATTCTCACACGGAGCTTGGGGTCCTCTTCCAAGCTCACTGAGGGTATTGGCAGAATTCACTTTTTTTTTTTTTTTTCTGAGGAAGACTAGCCCTGAGCTAACATCCATGCCAATCCTCCTCGTTTTATTTCCCCAAAGCCCCAGTAGATAGTTGTATGTCATAGTTGCACATCTTTCTAGTTGCTGTATGTGGGACGCGGCCTCAGCATGGCCGGAGAAGTGGTGCACCGGTGTGTGCCTGGGATCCGAACCCAGGCCACCAGTAGCGGAGTGCATGCACTTAACCGCTAAGCCAGGGGGCCAGCCCCAGAATTCACTTTCTAATAGTTGTAGGTCTAGGCCCTCAGCTTCTAGAGGTCACCCCTCTCCATAGGCCGCTCACAACATGGGTGTTGTTCCTTCAAGGCCAGGAGGAGAATGTTTCCCTTCAAGAAGTGCCCAGTCCCTCTTTTAAGAGTTTTTATCTGATTTGTCAGGACCACCGATAATGATCTTCTTTTTGATTAACTCAAAATCAATTGATTTGGGACATTAATTACACCTGCAAAATCCCTTCAGCTTTGTCTTGTAATGTAACCTAGTCAAGGAGTGCTATCCTATCAGATTGCCAGGTCCTGCCCTCCCTCAAGGGAAGGGGATTATGTAGGGAGTGTCCAGCAGGAGGTGGGAATCTTAGGGGCCATCTTAGAATTCTGCTAGACCCAGCTGGTGCTATTAATTACCTGTACCCTCCTTCTTCCTACAAGGCTCCCGATCTTCCTATCTTCTAGCCTTGGCATGCAGGGACCGAGCCAGATACAGAACTTCCACTGAGATCCTTAAGACTCAAGTCAGCACACTTGTGTGGGCAAACACCTTGGAATTATGGGCTAGGGAGGGGTCGCGAGAGGTCACATCACAGAGTTTCATTCATAGATACACTCTGTCTTAGAGAGTTTCTTTGGAAAACCTGTAGGAAGAGGATGATTCACCTTCTTTGGAAAAGTCACTAATGTCTCAGGAGACTTCCAGAAAAGACTAACATCAGTCTAAATGGTTCTCATTTATTCTTGGGATATTTCTCCGGCAACTACAAAGGGCCAGATACTGGGGAAAATGAATAAGATAGAGTTGCTCTGTAGTTAAGCCATTTCCTACCAAGCTGTTCTCAAGTCTTTAGCGTTTATTTAGAGACAATCCACAAATGATGTTCACGTGAGGGCCACAATCCCAGGGGTATTTGAGGGATAGATAAAATTCTTAGAATCTTAGCACTAACATACACACTCTCTCTCTTTCTCCCCCCTTCTCCCTCCCTCCCTTTCTCTTTCACAAACACACAACTTGGAATGATTTTTAAATATGTTAGATTGTATTCAAGTAACCTTCACTCACTGCATTCTAAGTCTTTGATTCTATAACTTTTATTAGTAAAAAGAAACTTTGCACTGCATCTGGCAATTTATGGCAAAGCACCATTGCCTCAGATACCCAGACTGAGAATTTATTCAACTAACAGTCTTTGGCAGATTCCACAGGCTGCATTCTTGTGTGGATAAGAGTATTAACCTCTATTTAACTTGTAAATAGCTTGTGAAGAAAAATTCTCAAGGCAGTCAAAACAAACTATTATAGCAGATTTTATTTTATTTCCTGTTTTAGTCCAGCTCCTTTTATTGCAAGAGTGCATGGGCGTTACCTCAAGTAACCCTCTCC